ATTTTTTAGTTGTCTTCTGTTTAATGCTGGTTTCTGAGCACTAATTCAGCCATTGAGACCACTGTGTGAGAGAATTCGACAAACTGTTCTTGTAGATACAGGGGTTTCCGGTGACCAGTTTTTATGTAGCTCTGCTGCAGTTGAAAAGGGGCTGGCCCTGGACTGCCGAAGCAACAAAACGGTCCTCTCGAACAGTTGTCTTATGGGGTCTGCCTGACCTGGGCCTGTCATGAACTTCACCAGTTTCTTCAAATCTTTTTCTTATCCTCTCCAATTGACATTTAGGCCACGTTCACACTGCAGGCTGAAGTGGCTCAAATCCGATCTTTTTGCCCAAATGTGACCCATATCCGATTTCCTTATGACAGTGTGAACAGCACAAATCCGATTTTTTCAAATCCGGCCCAGGCCACTTTCATATGTGGTCCTAAATCGGAAACATAGTCAATGTTTTACAATGCGACTTCAGTCTGAACGGCCATGTCGCATTTCATGCGTTTGTCTTTGCAGAAACAGACGTTATGGGCTTTACCAAGCTGTGAATATCAGGACACTTTTTGATGGTTTCATTTTGTACCCAGTTATTAATGTGAATGCCCTTGACATTAAAATTAACAATTTATTGTGACAACTGAATGATTAGAAATAAAGTTATGACATTTTAAGTTACTATGTCCTTATAGGACAAGACTTTTGTCAGTGTATTTCTAAAGGATTTCAGAATGGTGTTATTTTTCTAGGGCTGTACCTGACTGTCACCTGATTGGTATAGTTTTCCTTAGTCCTTTCTTAAACATAATTATGAATTTTATTCAAATTGTATTCATTAGATTGTTGTTTTAGCCAACAAAAACTGGAAAGGTTAGTGGGAAAGGTTGCTTATCCCTTTTCTCTGGATTCACTCTGTTTGATTACAACACTTGCCTCGATGGAGCTTGTGAGGAAAAGCTAAATCATAGGAAAGAATTAATACAGTGATATTTCTTGAGCCAGCATCTATAGTACAGGAAGCTTTACATGGTTGACTGCTGACATTAGTCCTTGAACCTGCAACAAAAAAATCTGACATAGCAATGCTACATCCACAATGTTTCTTCAGTCTTACTTTTTCACATTTATGGTTCCATATCAATAGATATGTTTCCATTTTTAGAAATACTCCATAGTTGCCCCCTAAGGACAAGGCATATACAGAAGTGAAAGCACAAAGATTCATTAAAATCACATGTCAATATAATGATAACTTCCATTTTGCCCAGAAGTACCCTTAATGTGCTTTATTAAATTCCTTTAAAGTCTTTACCGCATATATGTGTCTGGACAGACGTGCATTAACTGTGACTGGACTGGCTGGCAGAGGCTTACAACTGAGAGGCGATAATTCTGGTGCTTTTTGCATGTGCTTTTGTAGGTTTGAAGCACGTTTCCTTAATGTTTGTGCTTTGACATTTATATATGCTTTTACCATAGGGCCAACTGTAATACTCGGTATAATAAAAATGTTTTCATCAATATGCCTTACAATTATGAGAAACGCATTATTGGCAGCTCTGCTCAGTCACAGTACCGTGCAGCACACGTGAAGAACAACTAGCTGCCCCTCTTGTTTCACCTGTAAGACCCATATTTTAATGCCTTCATTTCTCATCTGTGATGTGAAAGGATATTTTCACATGGAATAGAAACACGCAGCACCATTTTGATCACTCCTATCTGTTTCCAGTTAGCTCTCTACAATTTATACAGAACCATAATAGGTTGCACTGTAGTGTACAAAGACATTTTATATATTGGTCACTTAAGTTCTGCACATTATTGGTGTATTGTAGCTTTACTGTAAAAGGTTTTAATCAACATTTATGTTCACTTGCCACTTTTCTCCAAGTGTATATGAAGTCATGACTGTATGTTATACTTGTTGCTTATATCTGTTAACTTTTTTTTTTTTTAGATTGTTCCCTGCCAGTACCTGCTTCAACCCGTACGAGGCGAGGACCATCACATCTACGCCCAGCACCTCAAATCTCTAGCCTTCTCTGTCTTCGCTCGGTGCAGACGGCCACTACCCGCTTCCACCAATGTCAAGTCACTCACAGGCTTCGGCCCAGGCTTGGCCATTGACACTGCCCTGAAAAGCCCAGAGGTAAATGCAACAAATCGCCAAGTTATACAGTTATAAAACATAATCAATATGCGGTTGCAGTTCAGCTCTGTAGCTGATGTCCATCAGTGCCTGTTTTAATTCTGTGATGGCATCAGCATGCTAACATTGTCCTCTGATTGATAGACAAACAAACGGGCTGACACAGTGTGCCTAGCAGCAGCATTTCATTTGCTTCCAGCTCTCCAGCCACACATGAACCTCCCCTGATATGACCCAGCCTTTGGCCCTGGCTGTATTCAGTCTGGCACTGAAAAGAAAGAAGGCAGTGAAATAAAGAGTTTTAGTGCTAACCATCCTCATAGTTTTTTCTGCTGGAACAGAACCAGGGGAATTTGTAGCCTCCTTCTACTCCTGAGTTTTCTTTCCATTATCTGCTTGGCTAGCTCCCTGAGACCTCCATAATGGGATCTCATCTCCAGTTTTAGACAAAGGAGTGCTTTAGATCAGGGCCTTATTCAGTTGACTTCCTTCTTGCATCCAGTGCTTCGTTTTCGTTTTAACATACTGGCAAACCTTGAGCTGCCTTGCTGGGGGACTGGGATATGGACTGGAGTGGCACAAACGGTAGTTTAGTCTGCAAAGATACTTAGAATGTGAACTCAGTTAATATTTGGATTGAGAGACAAGAATTTCCTGTGGCTGTAGAGGCTGAGCAGTGATCATGTGCACAAAATGAACATATCTGGAGCATGTCCATTTTGGCTGAACATTTATCCTTAGTGTTTTATCCTGATATTATTCCCTCTCAATCTGCAGAGGCCAGAGTGTCTGCGTTTGTATACACCCCCCTTTATCTTAGCACCGGTAAAGGACAAGCAGACGGAGCTCGGGGAGACGTTCGGTGAGGCATCACAGAAATACAACGTGCTGTTTGTAGGGTACTGTTTGTCACATGACCAGCGCTGGCTCCTGGCTACTTGCACTGACCTGTATGGGGAACTCTTGGAGACCTGCATCATCAACATTGATGTCCCCAACAGGTAGGAATGCCATCAAAACTATATTAAAACATACCAGGTTCAGTTGTTGTTACCATTTAAAAAGGAATCACTTAAAACTTTTGGGCCTGTAGCAAATTACTTAACATCCTGAACTCCGACTGATTCATTTTTCTCTGTGAACAACCCCTATTCAGTCACAGCAGCACATCAAGTGTCTGTGACCTCACAAATGTATGGCAGTCTTCAACATGTGTGTGCTTGATATTAAAACTGATTTCTGTATCCGTTATGTTAGCTGTCACACAACACTTTGCTGAAAAAATAAGTTGAATTTGAGATGAAAGGTATATTTAGTCTGTGCACACCCACACATCCCTGAGAGGAGGTTCACCTTCAGTCTGAGGAGCTTGGGCTCACAGTATGTTCTGTTTTCAACCACTTCTGATTTGTAGCTAAGCACACTGTGTGTGCTCTTGATGATGAAAAAGCAGTTTTGACATATGTGACTATGTATGTTCTACAGGGCCCGGAGGAAAAAGGGCTCGGTCCGGCGGCTCGGCCTACAGAAGCTGTGGGATTGGTGCTTAGGGCTGGTGCAGATGACGTCAGTCCCCTGGAGGGTGGTGATCGGTCGACTGGGCAGGATAGGACACGGAGAGCTAAAAGGTATGGATGACTGTTAGGCTAAAATGCCTTTTTCTGACAAAAACACTAGAGCATTCAAGTGTCAAAATGTTTTCTATAGCAGTTAGTCACTTGTTCACTCATCTGTCGCTCTCTGATGTTCACATTCCAGACTGGAGTATTCTGCTGAGCAGACGAAACCTCCAGTCACTGAGTCGCCGCCTGAAGGAAATGTGTCGAATGTGTGGCATCTCTGCCTCAGATACTCCCAGCATTCTCAGTGTGTGCTTGGTCGCCATGGAACCCCAGGGATCCTTTGTCATCATGCCAGGTAGAATATGTGCACATGAGAAAGATTATAAATACGCTTAGTCTTTTTTTTAATGTACACTTTTCATCTGAGCTGCATTACTCGACCAAGTGAGGCATTGCTGATGTGTGTTCATGTCTGTGCGTGTGGTGTGATGGATGGCAGCAGCATATTACAATGCCTGTCCCCTCCTTGTCCAGAGCAGATTGATGGCAGGGAAGATCATGTCCCTTTCGCTCATAAAGCACTACCTCTCGGATTCCCGTTGATCTCAGTGCGGTGTGATGGAAAGCCAGATTAATGGGTTTATCTTGGGAAACAAGTGGGGGATTGTCAGTGCATCAACCAGGATTGTGTCGAGCGACGCTTGGCTGAGGACATCCCCTTCCTAAAAAGCTCTTCAAGCTGAAAGGGATTGGGAAGGCTTTGTTGGCCTTGGATGTACAAACATGCCAAACTATGACTAGAAGGAGCTTAAAAAAAATCACTGTAACACAAACCAGAAATGTTTTATTTAGTTTGTTTTTGACTACAGGTGACAAAATGTCTTAAACCTGACATTTTAAATGCATTCTATCAGTGTTGTAAAATGAAGACCTAAATATTTCAGCAGTCATTTCACAGATTCAGCATGCAGGCTCTTGTTGAAAGGGTTACTGTTTGGTCATTTATGAAGCTGTGGCTTAGCACTCAGCTGAAGATGTTAGCCCTAAAATTGAATAAGCTAATTAAAGTCAGTGAGCAAATTAAATAAAAATAAAGGTTTCAGGAGTGTTATTGATGGCCATGGAACCTAGCGCCAGTGGATGGATGGTGGTACTTATAGCTGATTATAAATTAATTGATGACTTGTTATTTTTCTGTCATTTATATGTGAGAGTTTCAAAAATGCTGGAATACTACAAAGTTTGAGCCTTGTGTTTCTTTGTTGAGGGTTTTTTTCTCTTTGGCTCAAATGTTGAGAATTTGCTCATTCAGAGATGATTTGAGAGATTTTGTGACAAGGATTCCCATTTTGTTTCATTATGCTTAGCTGTGCTGTTTATTGACTGGTCACTCTCTCCTTCCTCTGTGCGTTCTGTCAGACTCGGTGTCAACAGGCTCAGTGTTTGGCCGCAGCACCACCCTGAACATGCAGACGTCACAGCTGAGCACCCCACAGGACACCTCCTGCACCCACATCCTGGTCTTCCCCACCTCCGCCTTTGTAGCCAGCTCCAATTACACCAACATCGACCCCAACATCGACATTCTCAATGCCACCACTGGTCAGTAGCACTTTGTCATCTATCTTGCAGTCATTTTTTAGAGTCCTGTTTTTCAGTGCTTGTGGCTCATCCTATTTGCTGGACCTTGAACAAAGTCATTGATGTTAAAAGGAAAATGCAGCTGTTACTGAAGTTTTGTACAGTTTGTTTCCAAATCATTTGCACTTAGTTTTCTAGTCTGTTAAGAGTCTGGGTTGGCCTACAGGTTATTGCCTTTGTGCAAATATATTTGCTGCCAGCAACATTCCATAATCACTTAATAGCAAAATTAAACACATTGAAGGTTGAAGTTGGTATCAGTATATTTTCTGAAATGAACACTTTGCGTGTTATTGCCACAGTAGGTGCATATTTTTGGTTAATATATACTGATCAAATGAGAGGTTTGGAGCATTTTAGATTACTTATCTGAGACACTGGGAGCTAATGAATTAAATTAAAAATCTCATCACTTCAGTCCTGTTGAATTGTTCTCCCTTTCTCTTCAGATGGGTTCTTTGACCTGCTGGACCCAGAGAATGAGTTGGTAGACCCAGACATTATTAACATTTCGCCCACAACTTCACCAGTACACTCCCCTGGCTCTCATTACCACCATGGAGGTGATGGCAGTAAGGTGAGACATGCATACACACCGCCGGTTAAGTACAGCTTGTTTTACAAACATCTAACCTGGAGTTTCCTCCTTGTGGCAGGGCCAGAGCACAGACCGCATGGAGTCTCATGAAGAGGTCCCTAACCTCCTGCAGCAGCCTTTGGCCCTTGGCTACTTTGTGTCCACGGCTAAAGCTGGCCCACTACCGGACTGGTTCTGGTCAGCCTGTCCACAGGCTCAGAACCAGTGTCCACTTTTCCTCAAGGTACCAACCTCTTCCCTTCAGCATGTCAGTTTGATGTACTTTTTAAGCTGGCCTTTCATACAAGAGCACAAGGAAATAAAGACAACTTGGTGAAACAATTAAGTGGTAGATTCAGGCACATGAGGTTTAAAAAGAGATAAAACTATAATAAACTGTAACAAGGCAACAGCATTAAACAAGTTAGACTTATGATAGTTTTGTTTAAGCACTAAAAAGGTATTATTATTTCTTTAAAATGCTGTTAGGATGTAAACAAGGAGCTTGTACCCACTTGAAGTAAGGGTAATCGAACCCTTGTGTGTGTAAACAAATGGCACATACTGCAAAGCACATTCACTGGTTTTGAGTTGCAGTGCTAGTCCTTGCTTCTGGAAATAACTATAGACCAAGTGCTGCTGTCACTATTGTGAAGAGAGCTGCTGTTAATCAGATGAAATGTAATAAAAGGTTCCTAATGTCATTATAATACCACTGACACCACCTGTTTGCCTGCATCCAACCCTCTCAGGCCTCTTTGCACCTCCATGTGTATTCAGTACAATCAGATGAACTACTGCACAGCAAACACTCCCACCCCCTCGACTCCAATCAGACCTCAGATGTGCTCAGGTAAACAACACCAGAACACAGTCCACCACAAGTGCACGAAATACTGTTACCACCCTGCTGACTGAGTTTCCAGGGTGATTTTTGTATTTTCAGTTTTTATTCTCACTTAACTGGTTTTTGGTTACAAATGGTGACAAAACACAACAACTAAACATACATTTGAAATTGTTTACCCTTAATATGTTTTAAGTGCTCCTGTCTCTTATATGTATATTAGCCAGGAAATTGAATGATTTGAGTTTTGCAAAATAAAAAGCCAAATCCTATAGAACATATATCATAATATTCAATATATTGATGACCAGCTGAGGTATACTTTTTAAATGACCACTTTTTTGGATGCCTGGACAGATTTGTGCTGGAACAATACAACGCCCTCTCCTGGCTGACGTGTGACCCGGCCACACAGGACCGACGATCGTGTCTGCCCATTCACTTTGTGGTGCTCAACCAGCTGTACAACTTCATTATGAACATGTTGTAACCAGCAGCCTGTTACAAGGGGGATGTAGGGCAAGCATTTCAGAGGAGAGGGAACTGACGACTTCAAAGGGGGTATCGTCAAGACTGAAGAAAACTGCAAGGACCAGACTCAGCCCAGAGGAATCGAGCTGGCTCCTGCACTGAGAAGGGATTAGACGGCTGTTTAAAGCTGAGACAGTCCTGTCCCCCATGGCTGCTTCTGGCTGAGATGGTCCTGTCCTTGTGATGTAAAGACACACACAGAGACAAGGGAATAAAGATGAGGGAGAAACCAGAAGTTGAGTTGCAATTAATGAACATGAGAGAATGACAGATGGGTTGCCATGGTATGTAGTATGGCAGCACAGTCACTGGCCAGTCTGTATTGGAGAGACGAGTCTGTCTGTAAAATTAGTGGAAGAAAAGGGACATATTTGATCAAGGAGAGAAACTCGAGAATGCATCTTTGGTTTTAAGACCGGAAATTTCTTTTTAATCCTTTGGATGAAAAAGTATCCAAATGAAATGCCTGCATCTATCTTATTTATTAAGTTTTTAAATGTATAATTTGTCTTATTTCTTAACCTCTTTTATATATTAAATGGAGAAGGTTTATATCACCTTCCTGCTTTAAAGCAATTGGTCTAAGATATATGTAATTGTCTTAATTAAAAAACAACCAGGAAAAAAATCCCATAAAAACTAAAGTCCCCGGTAGGTTGCTTTTAGAGTATTATTTTTTGTAATGCAGACAGAATATTTGTATTGTCAATGTACAGAAGAATTAGAGTGGAGAATTATGTTCCATGCCTTTGAGCATGAAGGACTTACAGCAAAGCTGTAGCTACAGAGGACTTGTACAGCAATGAACTTCACTGTGTTCAAATAAAGAGGTACATTGTTGTATATAGTATTTTATACTACACATTTAGACACAAAAACCAAATGGCAATATATATAAATAATTATATATGAATGCCATGCCAGCAGTTGGTGGTGTGGCTTCTGTTTTAGGAATAAAGTGTGTCAACTTAATTTCCTGTGCTTGTGTTTATTGCTTTGGGGAGGGGGGCTGTGATGTGCAATTGAACAAGGACACCAGTAGAAGGGTGAAAGGAGAACTACTGGCATCTCTTGGAAGTAGAGTACCTCAGGTTTGATCTTTTTTTTGTTTTTTAAAGGAGAAAGAAAAGATAAGAACAGGTGTTTTATTGGCGGACATGCAGTGTCCTTTTCAGCACATCCTTTTTTACTGTACCTCTTCTTAAACTGGTTGACTGAGGCCTGACTCTTTGGCACCAATTCTGATTGGTTATAGATATATTTAGACCAGTCCCACTTTACTTCAGTGTGAAAGTAAATGTGTGGTGTAAATGAACTTTAAAACCAGCTACAGATGGCTGCCCATTGGATATTCAGTGTTTGAGCACCAAGAAAGATCTTCTGCTTCGATTTCTCCTGTTCAGAGGGAAAGTGTACTTTGACTATTGAAAATCCATTGCTATTGCTTTTTACCTTGTATATTAAGCAGCATTTGTTGGCTTTAAAATTTTGACCATCAAAATTTATTTATTTGGTCTTTGAGTGCAGATAAATACATTCAATATTTAATAAACCCTGAAAATTAATTTTAAGTCCAGTGCCATGTTTTCTTTTTTAGAAATCATGGTTGTTTGCAGTGATGATCTGCTTCTGTTATACAGTACTGTAGGTTTGCATGCTGGTTACCACACACTATTCACAAGTAGGTAAAAGGCAAAAACATAGAAATAACCCTACAATGTAAGTTGAATTACCTGTGAATTGTTGGATTGGCAATTCATTCTTCTCAGAATTTTGAGCATTTCTGTTCGGAGTCTGCAGCCCTGCATTACAGAGAGGTCCTGCTCTGTTTTCCTTCATCCCTCAGCAGCTGCTGTCAATGTGTAGTGGAATTTACACCGACACTGATGGCATAGGTAAAAGCCTAGAAGTCTAAATAGTTGAATTGATACTCCATATATTTTATTGTGGCCTCTCATAACTGTAAGACCAACAATGGCATCTTAAAATTCAGTATGGAGTAAATTAGATATTATATATTGGATTGCAACACATTCATAATGACCTACTTTCTTGTTATCCAAAGATATTAACTCTTGCATTTTAACCAGATGGAAATAACAGGCCTGTCTGCCACAAAAATTGGTTATATATGGATATTTGTTTTCCTTTCATTATCAATGGTGCAGAAAATGTCAAATTATAGTTAATTAAAACTTCACAAACTGGTGATTCATTATTTACCTTGTGCTCATCAGGTAATCTTGATACTTTTTTCAAGCTATTTCCTCACATAGATTCAGGCTGTCATTATTGGGAGATCTGAATGCTGCCCTTTTGTAAGGATGTGAATAAATTGAAAAAGAATCATGCTGGCACCAGTGCATGGTTTGACGAAATGAAATATGAATTCAGTCATACTGAAACAACTTCTCACTATCATCCAGTCCATGTTGTGTGTGTCACAGCGCTGCCTGCAGTCGGGACAGGAGCGGACTATCGTACTGTCAGTGTCGGCATACGGTGAAGACGAGGCCAGTTCCACAACTTTCACACTGACATATTTATCTGTCTACACTGTAGATAAAGATAAGATGTAGGTGGGTAAGCGAAAACTGGGATAGACAGGGCGTGAAAGATATTACGCTGCAGACATTTCCATAAACCTGCCGGCAAAAGCTAGGACAAGCTTCTTTCTCTATCAGTGCCAGGACTCCCCTACAGAGCTCGACGGTACACAGCCGAGTCCGAGGTCTCAAGGCCTCCATGGTGACATTTATTTAAAAGAAAGCATCGTCCTAATACGTGAGGTAAGATTATTATTACACACGCCAAGGACAGACCAGGCAGCACACTCGTCTGATAGGACAGCTAACCTAGCTTAGCTCAGATCTAGCAGTTAACCTAGCTGGCAAATAAGTGCTAAGCTAAGAGCTCCAAAACAATGCGGATAGCCAATGAATGGTGGCTAAGCTACGGACGGCAGCTAGTAACAAGCGAAATAAGCTGCCTGGCTAGCAGACCTAGCCTAGCTGTTCCTTCAATATTGCTTTGTTATTGAAGAGACGTAGTGAAAATTTCTGAGTGCTGCACCTGAATCGTACAGTCAGATTCACCGTTCATTCAGGTTAACGATATTTTCCAGCATTAGCCAGCATTAGCATTACCTAACCATTTAACGTTAATGCTACCTTGTTTTGCTAGCCGGTTATCGTGATATTAAAAAACTTAACGGTAATGCCACTGTGTAACAACCAATTAACTAAACCTGTGATAAATTATTTACACATATATTAACTACGGAATAGCCAGAGAAAACCGTAGTAACTCGAGAAATGAATGCGTTGCCACTTTGTAAATTTAAGCTGCTTCTGTCAGCTGAACTGTATTTGCCGGAGACTGTAACGTTACTTTAGTGGAGTTTCTGTAGTTTGCCACCCCATCAGTTTAATCAGCACATTTGCTCATAACGCACACGATGAAGACTGTTCGCTTTATTTCTTAAGATCGCATCAGATCTGCCTTTTATATTTGTTTTGCCTGCTTCATGTGGTTTCGTTGCAGTGAGATGGCCGACAGTGCAGGGCTGCAGTTTGTCAGCCCCTATGCTTTTGAAGCCATGCAGAAGGTGGATGTAGTACGCCTGGCTGCCCTCAGTGACCCAGAGCTGAGGCTGCTACTGCCCTGCCTGGTGAGGATGGCTTTATGTGCCCCAGCTGATCAGAGCCATACCTGGGCCCAGGACAAGAAGCTTATCCTCCGCCTGCTCTCTGGAGTGGAGGCTGTCAACTCCATTGTAGCGCTCTTGTCTGTGGACTTTCATGCCTTGGAGCAAGATGCAAGAAAGGAGCAGCAGCTTAGGTATAGCTGACTGACACACTCAGTTCATAAGGGCATACATACAATACTCTCTTCAAAAAATACTACTGATCACTGCTTATTAAAAAATACTAGGTGTTCATTTTAGTCACAAACGCCATATGCTGTCTCTTCTGTCAGGCACAAGGCGGGGGGGAGCTCTAATGGAGAGAGCATCTTGGTGTCCCAGCTACAGCATGGTCTGACCCTGGAGTTTGAACATAGTGATCCCCTGAGAAGACTCCGTCTTACACTCAGTGAACTGTTGACTATCATGAATAAGGTGCAGCCAGAGGCCCAAACATCCCAGTACATCACAAGACACTAATAACATGAATATATTTAGCTTAAATTGTCCCCTTTTCATTAGAAATAGCAAAAACAAGATGCCCCATGAAAATTTATAAAAGGTTAAGTATTGATTTAAAAAAATAATATTGGGTATGCCAAACTAAACTATTTAGAAGTACCTGGCTAACTGGAGTTGTTGATATGAATGAATGACCTTGTACAAATGACTGAATTAGTAAATAAATCTTACTTGTGGAAATGGCAGGTGAAAGTAACAAGATTGCACTGCTTTCTTTACTTAAGCTCAGTTTGGCATCAGAAACTACTGCATTTCTGGCAGCTACTCTTACATTGACTGACAGATTAGATGTTCCTTAGTCGTGCAGTTGTTCTTTAGTGCTTTCATCTTCTAGAAGATGACTTGGATGACTGATCCCTTGTTGTTTCTCAGGTGGCAGATTCAAACGGGGAGTTTTTTTTAAAGTCGTCCGAACTCTTTGAAAGTCCCGTTTACCTGGAAGAGGTCGCAGATGTCCTCTGCATTTTACAAGCAGGTACCTTTCATCTTCTAAATAGTTTTAGTTAGAAGTGCTTTACAAGTGGGGTCATGTTGACTACAACATCTTTTGTACATAAGTGTGCTATGTGCAAGGATGAGATTGATAAGATTCAGATTACAATGTCATAGGTGCATGAGCAGGATTAGCTCATATGAAAGTTTGTGACATGATGCCAAATTAATCTGAAGGAGGTTTTGTGATGTATGATACAGTTTTACAGTTTTTATTTGATGAATTCACTGCCTTGGTTTTTCCACTCAAATTCTAATTTGTTAAATTCATGATGTCATGATTGAACTTTTACAGTAAGTCACTCAACAGTAGTGTTTTGGGTTAAACACATCAGTGGACTAAAACCATTCTGAAGTCAAGTCCTGAGCATAAGAAAGCAGCCTGAGAACTTACATCATGGAGATGTAGCCCCAGCTTGTGATTCTCATGTATTACATACACTCGAGTCACAGAGATAGTCTTCCATTAATGTGCAAAATTGAGACTTGCTGAATGTTTTAACCCCATACTGTCGTTTCATAATACTCAACCAAATTCAGAAGGAGGTTCTTGAATCCGCATAGACTCTTCTAATGAAATGGAATCAAAAATAATCTGCTCCAGTCCAGGAAAAAAAATATGATCAGTTTCTCAGTTGTACCCATTCTTCTTATATAAACAAAGATGGCAACAGGAATTGATGTAATCACTCTGGCGTTGTGTCAAAGTGGCTTGACTTTCACGAAATAAGCGAGAGAAAGATTCTGTCATTTCCCGTCACCATTTTTTTTTTTACTGAAAAGAGGCTGTTTTACCCAAGAAACTGACAAAAATGACATTTTTCATGGACTGGAAAATATTATTTTTGATTCCACATGATTAGAAGAGGCTGATGCTGTGAGAAATACCTTCAGAATTTGGGTGGGTGTTATGAAGTGACAGTATGAGGTTAAAATGGGCGACAAGTTAGCTGATCATCTCTGTGACTCGAGTGTATGTAATACATTAGAGTCACAAGGGGTGACTAGGA